TCAGTACCTGTCAAATTCTACGCGAAGAGAAAAATGTCTCTCTCAATGACATGATGGCCACCAAGCTGGCGGCTTCGTTTTTGGAGGCGAATGTCGACGACAAGGTTTGGAAGACATCGTCGAAGAAGAAGAAGAAGTCAAGGATGAGGCACATGATGAGGTATGCATCCATCGCCCTCCGCCTGGCAAGAAGCAAATCTTGCTACGAAAAGGTCGAGGCGGTCTATGAGGAGCTGCGCAAAGGCTCTTCAGATTCAGTAGCCCCCCTTGGAGTTACGCATCTGTCGAGTAACATTCTCAACTCCATGGATGACGGAGCATATTGCTTCGCATTGGATGTTCTTCAAAAACGATTAAAAGAGAAGAGGCAGGGCAACTTCGAGTCCTTTCGGAGTGACTTTTACAAGGCTATTATGAAGATCTATACAGAGATCGTTCGCGTTGCCTCCTTCAAGTCAATGGAGGTCACCGACGTGCTTGGGAAGGAGATCATGTTCACGGCGTCGGAAGGTAGGAGTATTCGCCATTTGGCAATCGCACTGTTCCGGGATTTCGGTACTGTCAAGTCTCGAAAGCCATCTGCACAAGCGCTTCTCCTGTCGAGGATGAGGAGACACTTGAAGAAGGCTTTTGGGATCATAGAATCTCCTCCGCCTCTTCCTGCAACTCCCCCTTCTACTACGCAAGCATCGAGCCACTCTGTGGTCCGCGTTTCTTCGGCGGGAGAAGAAACTTCGGCTATTAAGGCTGTCCGCGGTCGCGTGGCCGAAAGCAGTGCCAAGTCCATTCCCGCTGAGGCAAGGGAGGGATTGGAAGCTTCGAATAGAAATCAAGCCGCAGAAGGACGACGAGAAGGAGAAGGAGGAAGCGGAGAGGGAGAAGAAGAAGAAAGAGAAGAAGAAGAAGAAGAAGGAGAAGGAGAAGGAGAAGGAGAAGGAGAAGGAGAAGGAGAAGGAGAGGGAGAAGGAGAAGGAGAAGGGGAAATAGAAGGAGGGGGGGATGGCACACAAGACAAGCACTCGGCGACGGACGTGGTTGCTACTCCTAAGTTACCTTCCACACGGAGGAGCAAAAGAAAGCGGCATGTGGCTTCTCGGAATACGAACGAGAATGAAAGCAGTAAGAAGCAAAAGACGAAGAGGTTTTCCACTCGTAGAAGCACGACGAAGGCTGCTGGCTCTAGTTCGCGGGGCCGGAAAGAGCGCACGTTGAACCCCAAGCAAGTGGAAATTGTCAAGAAGGAGGTCAAGTATGTCTTGGATGGGCTCGCGTGGGAAGTGCAAAAAACAGTTCTTCAGTCAATGGGACTCGAAGTATCTCGACGATCACCGAGCGTTTCCATGGAACTTCGTGATGGTTGTGGTTCAGAGGACGCTGAACCAGAAAGCACGGAGAGATACAACGACAGCTTACCCCCTAACCTTCCTGACGGGTACAGCGATCCTGAACCGTACAAAGGTCCTGTTTGGCCGCTGTGGACACGCTTCTCTCGATGTTTGCCGAGCCGTTGGCCGAGAACCAACCCAATTGAGCATGTGAAGCCATTCCTAGAGGCGATTCATGTTGCGCATGAGCATCGAAGCAATATATGTCTCAATGTTGATGACTTGCGTCGCAACCATGAAATCGTGTTCTACCGAGCTGCCTACAACTACTATTCGCGACATCCTGAAGACATGGAACCGGACTGCTACAGCGAGCTGTCTGGGTCGGAAAGGTTGTGGGCTTCATCGACTTGCAACGACACTGTCTCAATTGCCTACTTTGCAGAGTGCAACGAAAGACTAAGGAGACTTGGATATTGCATCCTTGAAGGGTTTCTCGATGATGCTCGCATGCCTGAGACCTTGAGCGACATCAACCTTCCGCGTCTGGAGAACGGTCTCTTCTATAAACGCCTCCGTGAAGATGCAATGCAGTCTCTCCCTGGTGTTAATCAGCAGTCTACCTCCGAGCAGACGCCGTTGGAGTGGACGCACATTCTCAACCGTGGACATGAAGCTGACAGCGAAGCAGGCAAGAAGGGCATCGGGCGATATCTCGCCACTAACTACGGAATGACAACAGCGGTTGAAGGGAATCCTTTGCGCCGTCGGGCCTTCAAATCGCGTGTGTTTTTGGACGTGCGTATCGGGCAGGCAGTGGCAGCGCTACGAGCTTGGAACAACTCCAGTTCTGACCGCACCAACATGTACATTCCGAACAGTGGGGGCCGTTGGCTGTACACTTCGAAGAAGTGCGACAAGCAGAAGGTTCACACGGACTTTCCTACGCTGATGGCTTCCCAAGTTCAGGAGAATTCGAAGTGTCCTGGGTTTTTCACGATCTGCTCAGGGGAAAGGGAAGTCAGGCTATGGGTATGCGAAGGGTCTCACATTCGCATCGCGCAGGTTAATTCCGTATCTCCTGATGATAATGACCTCAGAGAGGCAGCCAAGCTGACTCCAGCAACCGTCGTCTCCATCCCGCCGTACTCTATATTCGTTGGCAGAGGCGATTTGATGCATGCTGGAACTGGGGGTGTGGGTTTCAAAGGAGACTCAAGCAGGCTCCGTTACCATATGTACGTCACGCCGGAGGACCATGACCTCCCTGATGGTATTCATCTGGAGCGCTCGTTCCGCCCCGAGTTCATAGCGAACATTGATGACGATGAAGACGTGGACAGCGACGGCGAAGAGGATGAGGAGGAGGGCGAGAAGGACGTTAATAGTGGTGGTGGAAGTGAAGCTGCAGCCACGCCGCAAGCCAATTCCATCGCCGAGAAGAGTACGGTCGCTCCGATTACCAAACTGTCTGCTCCGAATCAGCCTCAAGACGATGCCAACTACAGCAGCAGCAACAATAGCGAAGCCGAAGAGCCCGAACACGATAGTGACTAAGTAACCTCCTTTACAATTCCATAATACCACCGATTGCAGAAATGGTTGAATAATCCTCTCTGTCTCTTTCTCTGTCTCTCTCTCTGTCTCTCTCTCTGTCTCTCTCTCTGTCTCTCTCTCTGTCTCTCCCTCTGTCTCTGTCTGTCTCTGTCTCTGTCTCTCTCTATGTGTATACCCATCTCTCTTACCCATCTCTCTATGCGTCTGTCCAATTCTTTATGTATGTGACCATCTATCTATGTGTGTGTCCATCTCTCTATACTTGTTCCTCTCCGCCTCTTTGGCTGCATCTCCATTTCTCTCTATCTCTTTATGTAAACAAGTAGCTCTAAATCTTTTTGGGGTTTCCTTCCCTGTACTCTATATTGTAGTCCCATTTTCTCTGCAGTTTTGGTAACGGTGCGTTGTTGTAGTACGAGAGCGTCGCTTTTTCAGTGACTGGGGCGCGGCATTTATAAATACGTGTTTGTCTAAGAAGAGATGGACGTTGAAAAAGGTGGTTGTGAAGTGGGTTGGGTCCTGTGATCAGTGGGGAGCTGTGATCAGTGGCCACTGATCACAGGCCGGCAGGGGGTGTCGTACGACATCGTCATTGCTGTATAAAATTTGCAAAATTTGGTGGCAAATTTTGCGGGGTGGGAGCTGTGATCAGTAGACACTGATCACAGTAGACACTGATCACAGGCCGGCAGGGGATTCAGGAGTAAGGAGCAGGATGGTTTTCGTACTTTAGGGATTCGCTGTGCTTTGGAGATTTAGGCGAGTAGGGGAGTAACTAGGATTAGGAGATTCGTGGGATGTGAAGATTACGTGGGATTAGGACATTTGAGACTACGGGCGGGCGGGGATGTGAAGTCACGGGAGAAGGTATGGTATGGGATGGTAATGCCCGCTTCCACACCGTCCTTCAGTGTAGGGACCAAACCAGGAACGGGTGCCACGTCATTTGGTTCGTGGTGGCGCGACTTGGACACGAGGGTATTTCAAGCAGGGGGGCGAATGTTCAAAAACCACTTTCTGCGCTGAGAGCATTTCCGAATAAGTCGGTCCAGACCGAGGAGGACTCCTGTTTCTTACCAAGAAGTCAAGTGTTCTCGCCGGTTGAGGAATGGAAGAGCCACCAATCGCTGGTGATGCCAAGGGGGGGCCTTCTCGTCCGAGATACGAAACCGAAGCTCTGCGGGAATTGAAGTCAACGTGTCGCAAGCATGGAATCAGGGAGCCCCGCACACGCCTCGGAGGTTTGCGTCTAGCGAGAGAATTGATGTGTAGTGACGGTTTGTTTTTGTCAAAAATGGAGCAAATGGCTGAGGCTCACAGGGCTCTCTTGAAAACTCTCACGGCAAGCATCCAAACTTTTCGCAACCAAACGTTTCGGAATGGCCTTGGCGAGTCGTTTGCGAGAATGACCCCGCACGAACAAGACGTTTTAAAAAACCCGGAAGGTTACGTTTTGGCTCCTGCATCTCCTCGATCTACTGCAAGTTCAGGATCATTCGGGCCTGGTGGGGGCGTTCTGCACAGCAATAATGCCTCCCCGCACCAAAGCTCTAAGCGGCAATGGATGGAGGGCACCGATACCGGCAAGTATACGAGTCCCATAAAGGACTCCCGTGCGAGGAAGAGAGCCCGTTTCGAACAGACGCTTCGGGGATTTGGTTATGGCGGCATTGGAGCCAGTACGTATCGTCACGACGAGAACCTAATGGATGATAATGATATAGACGAGTAAGAATTGGATGAAATACATGTAGTGGGTCTGTTGGGAATAAACACGATCTGGCTCATCATTTCACATACTATTGGTTGCACGGTCTAGTAACTAGTTATATCCTGGCGTTCAATATCCCTTGACCGGCAAGCAACTCTTCTTCCAATATCGTTCCGTCTACATAGACTCTGTCCTTGAGTCTTGGGCCCGACTGCTTGCAGAAGGAGAGGTGATCAGCGCGGACCAACCGAGGAGTGCAGGAATTTGTCGGGCAGCCATGAACCTTCTTCTAGCAGCGCATCCCGACGGTGGATACTCTACGCCCGTTTTGGAAGAGACCATTCAAGATGATCTTCCGCCGATATACGAGGTGTTCTGTGCGGAAGCAAAGACTTGCGCTTCCGTGATTATGCCAAATCATACAAGCAATTGAAGATAGTAAATGAAAAGCCATAGTTGTGAGAAAGTTGTGAGAAGTAATATAGATCCAGTTTATCTTCACAGCCATTACTAACGAAAAGTAGCCCGCATATCTGACAACCCAAAAACGTAACGTTTGCCTCTGCGCGCCGGAGGCAACTCTCCTTCGCCGTGTGCAGAAGACATATTTGCGACGCGATAAAGCTCGGTTCTGGAAATACGCGTATCACGCGATGGTAATGCCCACAGCCTTCCCAGATCTCCCACCAGGTATATCTCCACATTACTACGGTAGCGCCTCTTACCAATACCTCTTCGGCAACCACCTCCTTCGATTGCAAGGCGTGGTAAAACTAGACGGGTTGTGTGCGATGCGTCAGCCAAGGAAATCTCTGCAAATACAACAAGAACCTTGCCTTACGCTACCACACCGTCAATCAAAGGGGTTGTGTTCTGTGATCAGTGGCCACTGATCACAGGCGGGCCGGGGGTGTCGGACGACATCGTCATTGCTGTATAAAATTTGCAAAATTTGTTTGCAATTTTTTGAGGGTTGGGAGCTGTGATCAGTGGGGAGCTGTGATCAGTGGCCACTGATCACAGGCCGGCAGGGGGTGTCGTACGACATCGTCATTGCTGTATAAAATATGGAGGTGTACCGCGCAGGCCTGCGCAAGCAAGTTTCTTTGGTATGACATGTTAATGGCCGTCGCGCGACAAGATTTCCAAAAGCTGTATGGGTGGCCAGCCATACTGGAACTAGATTATTTTTTGTTAATTTTTTAGAGGTTGATTCTGGTATGGGTGGCCACCCATACAGCTTTTGTCGATCTTGTCGCGCGACAAACACAGAATGTAGTACACGTGTGGACCCAAATGCAATGTCTTACCCGTGGTGAACCATGAGTAAGACATTGCATTATTGCCGCTGTCTCTACGTGTCCCTACCGGTCTTTATCTCAAGGAGGGACAAATTCTACCCTCAGAACGGATGACCGAGGAATAAGGTCAGGCACGGTTTATGCAAGGCAAGTGTTACTAGACGTTGCATTAGTCATTACGAAAACTGCAGCCAGTAAACAAACGACATTGCGCTCGCAACGATCTATATTACGTTCAGAGACTACAAATAAACAAGAGTGATCATCAGAATCCTCTCGCCTGTTGACAATGGTCTCTTGCGAAATAACATTGCCGTGTTCTACGATTACGTCCTAAGGACGCGGGGTTCGACGACGATCCCATCGACGGATTGAGTGACGACAAGGTTTGGAATTCATCAATAGAAACTAGGCAAAATTGTTGTTTACAAGCTATTCATGGACGAATGGTGAATTCTCACTGTAGTGTACGAATATCTCAGCGCCAGGGTTGATGAGTTCGTCGGCTTCTATGTAGATGAGATCTGTATCTGTTAGCTGGGAGGGGTGGTGAACAGGCTTCGACTGGGTAAACCTAGCATTCGCCTTGCGAATATTACCCATTGTCTCGTTACCAGCATTGCCGCGTGTGCTATTAAGAAATAAATCGTATTCTTCGTCGTCGGGATGATATCTCATGTCGTTGATGTATCCCCCAACGCAAAATGGGGCTGGAGTGACAAATATGGGCTTCTTTCCTTGCGACCTCCCCTTGATGTTGTTGAAGGCATGAACCTCGATCCTAATCTGGATGCTGTACTTGTTGAAGCGCTTGACCGTGACACTTAAGATACCTTCACCGTACGTCTTATGAACTTCCTTGCGGGATGCCAAGTCATGGTAAATGAGTGTACCGAAGAAAGAGCAGATTTTGTCGCCCTTCGCGAACGTCCTGGAAGCAAAGACGCCCATTCCAGCTCTTTCATGTTTGATTGTCGACGGAGCAAGAAAAACACCTGCATTGGTGTAATCGGTGATCATAAGAGTCTTGGGGTCCGTTTGCTCCAACAGTCCACGAAATTCGCGAGTCCACTTGTGCACTGGTTTTTTTAGGCAACGCACAAGGAACTCGGGATTATTCCATTCGGCAGCGATATGTGCTAGCAAGTGTTGCGGAAGGATTTGATATTGAGGCATGCCTTTTGGAGATTTCCATCGAGGATCAGAAGGCAACCTGTAACTCTTGTCGTAGTCGTTGACGTACAAAGCGGCGTCCAGAAGTTCGGGGGAGAAAGGCACATCCGTTTTGCGTTCGGAAATGATGCGTGCAATGCATTTGAAAACATGCTTGGAGGCATGGCTGTAACAGATACTGTCCCTTTCGCATCCAACGAATTGGCGATGTTTGGGCAAGTCGAAGCAGGCTATAGCAGTTGCGAACGTTCCAGAAAACAGGTCCACGACGATGTCACCTGGCTGAGAAAATCGGCTGATGAGTTCTTTGAGCACACTTAGAGGTTTTTGCTCCGGCCGAAGGTCTGCCGTTCCAGAGTTGTCAGACTTCTGAACTCGAACGGATTCGGAAGGAAGAAGCCCCTTGCAGTTGTCAATTACATTTCGATAAGCTGGATAGGTTGAAGCGACGTAGTTGAAGTTCTTGTAATTGACCATTTCTCTTTTTTCTGCTTGAGACGGTCCCAGTTTCGTTAAATGAACTGCAAACTCGGCAATAGACGACAGTGTATTGGAAGACCTGTATGAGGCACCGTTTCGAGCTGACAGGTGCTTGGTAAAGATAATTGGAACTGAATCGACATCAAAAGTCGGTCGCTCAGCTTGGGTGTTACGGTCGGTCTTGTGATCGTTGAAGTGCTTTTCCCAGAGGCTGAACTGTTGGATACTGCAGTAAATGACTGCATGCCCTCCTGCACGAAGGAGACGGGCGGCTCTCTCGACGACCATTTTCATTTGATCTTCAGTAAGGTCGTCGTACGTTGCGTTCCTGGATCCTGCCAATCTTCTAATGTTGAACGGAGGATCTGTGAGGAGCAGCTGGACTTTTCCTAGTATTGGAGACGTGCAACCGAAGCTCTCCTCAGTATCTTGTATTTCCTCAAAGGGAACATCGTGCATCCTCAAGAAGGGCGTCATTTCCTGCTCTAGAGTAGCCCATTTCTTTTTCATCTCTTGATCTGTAATCTCTGGGAGTTCGGCAATTGTGTAGTCGTCTGCGGGCGGTGAACATGAACGTGGCTTGGTTTGCAGAGGATTTGACGGCCTGGCACTAGCTTCATCAATATCCATTGCGTCGTTTCCAGTCGCCTGGGGCATTGTGGACCGAATCTTCTGTACCAATGTGGAGGAGAGGAGTTGGAATCGAGATGGTACAACTCCTCCAGGTGGAATCTTGAAACGATCCATATGTCCCCATTCGGAATTTTGTGAGCGGGTGTATAAATCAGTCGAGCTTATTGCTTCGCGGACGTCTGAGAAGAAGTCTTCAGCGAATATTCGGATGGCGTTGTCCAATTCATGAGGGCGACCAACTACTCCCTCGAAGGTGTCTTGGGCCTCATGAGTAGGTTCGACATCGATGCTGATGTGCTGAAGTTGTATGTAAGGCGCGAATCCATCAGTGCGTTTTGAAATGACTTCAAACTGCAGAGCAGAATTGACAAGCACATAAGGGAGGACCATGTCTTCAATACTTTGAAAGCCAAGGTAAACTGCAAATGCGTCCCAAGCCCTTGTTATTGCTTGAATAGTTTTTCCAATCAGTTGTGAATGTTTTTTTAGACTGCTCGGAGAGATTTTTCCAAGGAATGCTTTGTCGGTTGTTGCCTTGCCGTCCGACAACTTTCGCTTTTTGCTTTGCGGTCTCTTTCCGGCCTTCAACATTTTTGAAAGGTATGCAATGGCTGAAAGGAAGACAAGCTGCTCAAATCGCGTGCATGGATCAGTGCGGAGATTGCCTTTCGCGAGAGACTGGGTCTTTGGGGCTCCAAAATCGGTGA